CTAAACCCTTGATTCTTTTTGTAGGAGAGAGGGAGGGGGTGGCCAACATACCAGACCTGGTACTAAGTGTAAGACTAACTAAACCCTTGATTCTTTTTGTAGGAGAGAGGGAGGGGGTGGCCAACATACCAGACCTGGTACTAAGTGTTAGACCAACTAAACCCTTGATTCTTTTTGTAGGAGAGAGGGAGGGGGTGGCCAACATACCAGACCTGGTACTAAGTGTTAGACCAACTAAACCCTTGAATCTTTTTGTAGGAGAGAGGGAGGGGGTGGCCAACATAACAGACCTGGTACTAAGTGCCAGACTAACTAAACCCTTGATTCTTTTTGTAGGAGAGAGGGAGGGGGTGGCCAACATACCCGACCTGGTACTAAGTGTTAGACCAACTTAACCCTTGATTCTTTTTGTAGGAGAGAGGGAGGGGGTGGCCAACATACCCGACCTGGTACTAAGTGTTAGACCAACTAAACCCTTGATTTTTTTTGTAGGAGAGAGGGAGGGGGTGGCTAACATACCCGACCTGGTACTAAGTGTTAGACCAACTAAACCCTTGATTCTTTTTGTAGGAGAGAGGGAGGGGGTGGCCAACATACCAGACCTGGTACTAAGTGTTAGACCAACTAAACCCTTGATTCTTTTTGTAGGAGAGAGGGAGGGGGTGGCCAACATACCAGACCTGGTACTAAGTGTTAGACCAACTTAACCCTTGATTCTTTTTGTAGGAGAGAGGGAGGGGGTGGCCAACATACCCGACCTGGTACTAAGTGTTAGACTAACTAAACCCTTGATTTTTTTGGTAGGAGAGAGGGAGGGGGTGGCCAACATACCAGACCTGGTACTAAGTGCCAGACCAACTTAACCCTTGATTCTTTTTGTAGGAGAGAGGGAGGGGGTGGCCAACATACCCGACCTGGTACTAAGTGCTAGACCAACTAAACCCTTGATTTTTTTTGTAGGAGAGAGGGAGGGGGTGGCTAACATACCCGACCTGGTACTAACTGTTAGACCAACTTAACCCTTGATTCTTTTTGTAGGAGAGAGGGAGGCGGTGGCCAACATACCCGACCTGGTACTAAGTGTTAGACCAACTAAACACTTGATTCTTTTTGTAGGAGAGAGGGAGGGGGTGGCCAACATACCCGACCTGGTACTAAGTGTTAGACCAACTTAACCCTTGATTCTTTTTGTAGGAGAGAGGGAGGGGGTGGCCAACATACCAGACCTGGTACTAAGTGTTAGACCAACTTAACCCTTGATTCTTTTTGTAGGAGAGAGGGAGGGGGTGGCCAACATACCCGACCTGGTACTAAGTGCCAGACCAACTTAACCCTTGATTCTTTTTGTAGGAGAGAGGGAGGGGGTGGCCAACATACCAGACCTGGTACTAACTGTTAGACCAACTTAACCCTTGATTCTTTTTGTAGGAGAGAGGGAGGCGGTGGCCAACATACCAGACCTGGTACTAAGTGTTAGACCAACTTAACCCTTGATTCTTTTTGTAGGAGAGAGGGAGGGGGTGGCCAACATACCCGACCTGGTACTAAGTGCCAACCAACTTAACCCTTGATTCTTTTTGTAGGAGAGAGGGATGGGGTGGCCAACATACCCGACCTGGTACTAAGTGCCAACCAACTTAACCCTTGATTCTTTTTGTAGGAGAGAGGGAGGGGGTGGCCAACATACCCGACCTGGTACTAAGTGCCAACCAACTTAACCCTTGATTCTTTTTGTAGGAGTGAGGGAGGGGGTGGCCAACATACCCGACCTGGTACTAAGTGCCAACCAACTTAACCCTTGATTCTTTTTGTAGGAGAGAGGGAGGGGGTGGCCAACATACCCGACCTGGTACTAAGTGTTAGACCAACTTAACCCTTGATTCTTTTTGTAGGAGAGAGGGAGGGGGTGGCCAACATACCCGACCTGGTACTAAGTGCCAACCAACTTAACCCTTGATTCTTTTTGTAGGAGAGAGGGAGGGGGTGGCCAACATACCCGACCTGGTACTAAGTGTTAGACCAACTTAACCCTTGATTCTTTTTGTAGGAGAGAGGGAGGCGATGGCCAACATACCAGACCTGGTACTAAGTGTTAGACCAACTTAACCCTTGATTCTTTTTGTAGGAGAGAGGGAGGGGGTGGCCAACATACCCGACCTGGTACTAAGTGCCAACCAACTTAACCCTTGATTCTTTTTGTAGGAGAGAGGGAGGGGGTGGCCAACATACCCGACCTGGTACTAAGTGTAAGACCAACTAAACCCTTGATTTTTTTGGTAGGAGAGAGGGAGGGGGTGGCCAACATACCAGACCTGGTACTAAGTGCCAGACCAACTTAACCCTTGATTCTTTTTGTAGGAGAGAGGGAGGGGGTGGCCAACATACCCGACCTGGTACTGAGTGCCAACCAACTTAACCCTTGATTCTTTTTGTAGGAGAGAGGGAGGGGGTGGCCAACATACCCGACCTGGTACTAAGTGCTAGACCAACTATACCCTTGATTTTTTTTGTAGGAGAGAGGGAGGGGGTGGCCAACATACCAGACCTGGTACTAAGTGTTAGACCAACTAAACCCTTGATTCTTTTTGTAGGAGAGAGGGATGGGGTGGCCAACATACCCGACCTGGTACTAAGTGTTAGACCAACTAAACCCTTGATTCTTTTTGTAGGAGAGAGGGAGGGGGTGGCCAACATACCCGACCTGGTACTAAGTGCTAGACCAACTAAACCCTTGATTTTTTTTGTAGGAGAGAGGGAGGGGGTGGCCAACATACCCGACCTGGTACTAACTGTTAGACCAACTTAACCCTTGATTCTTTTTGTAGGAGAGAGGGAGGCGGTGGCCAACATACCCGACCTGGTACTAAGTGTTAGACCAACTAAACACTTGATTCTTTTTGTAGGAGAGAGGGAGGGGGTGGCCAACATACCCGACCTGGTACTAAGTGTTAGACCAACTTAACCCTTGATTCTTTTTGTAGGAGAGAGGGAGGGGGTGGCCAACATACCAGACCTGGTACTAAGTGTTAGACCAACTTAACCCTTGATTCTTTTTGTAGGAGAGAGGGAGGGGGTGGCCAACATACCCGACCTGGTACTAAGTGCCAGACCAACTTAACCCTTGATTCTTTTTGTAGGAGAGAGGGAGGGGGTGGCCAACATACCAGACCTGGTACTAACTGTTAGACCAACTTAACCCTTGATTCTTTTTGTAGGAGAGAGGGAGGCGGTGGCCAACATACCAGACCTGGTACTAAGTGTTAGACCAACTTAACCCTTGATTCTTTTTGTAGGAGAGAGGGAGGGGGTGGCCAACATACCCGACCTGGTACTAAGTGCCAACCAACTTAACCCTTGATTCTTTTTGTAGGAGAGAGGGATGGGGTGGCCAACATACCCGACCTGGTACTAAGTGCCAACCAACTTAACCCTTGATTCTTTTTGTAGGAGAGAGGGAGGGGGTGGCCAACATACCCGACCTGGTACTAAGTGCCAACCAACTTAACCCTTGATTCTTTTTGTAGGAGTGAGGGAGGGGGTGGCCAACATACCCGACCTGGTACTAAGTGCCAACCAACTTAACCCTTGATTCTTTTTGTAGGAGAGAGGGAGGGGGTGGCCAACATACCCGACCTGGTACTAAGTGTTAGACCAACTTAACCCTTGATTCTTTTTGTAGGAGAGAGGGAGGGGGTGGCCAACATACCCGACCTGGTACTAAGTGCCAACCAACTTAACCCTTGATTCTTTTTGTAGGAGAGAGGGAGGGGGTGGCCAACATACCCGACCTGGTACTAAGTGTTAGACCAACTTAACCCTTGATTCTTTTTGTAGGAGAGAGGGAGGCGATGGCCAACATACCAGACCTGGTACTAAGTGTTAGACCAACTTAACCCTTGATTCTTTTTGTAGGAGAGAGGGAGGGGGTGGCCAACATACCCGACCTGGTACTAAGTGCCAACCAACTTAACCCTTGATTCTTTTTGTAGGAGAGAGGGAGGGGGTGGCCAACATACCCGACCTGGTACTAAGTGTAAGACCAACTAAACCCTTGATTTTTTTGGTAGGAGAGAGGGAGGGGGTGGCCAACATACCAGACCTGGTACTAAGTGCCAGACCAACTTAACCCTTGATTCTTTTTGTAGGAGAGAGGGAGGGGGTGGCCAACATACCCGACCTGGTACTGAGTGCCAACCAACTTAACCCTTGATTCTTTTTGTAGGAGAGAGGGAGGGGGTGGCCAACATACCCGACCTGGTACTAAGTGCTAGACCAACTAAACCCTTGATTTTTTTTGTAGGAGAGAGGGAGGGGGTGGCCAACATACCAGACCTGGTACTAAGTGTTAGACCAACTAAACCCTTGATTCTTTTTGTAGGAGAGAGGGATGGGGTGGCCAACATACCCGACCTGGTACTAAGTGTTAGACCAACTAAACCCTTGATTCTTTTTGTAGGAGAGAGGGAGGGGGTGGCCAACATACCCGACCTGGTACTAAGTGCTAGACCAACTAAACCCTTGATTCTTTTTGTAGGAGAGAGGGAGGGGGTGGCCAACATACCAGACCTGGTACTAAGTGTTAGACCAATTAAACCCTTGATTCTTTTGGTAGGAGAGAGGGAGGGGGTGGCCAACATACCAGACCTGGTACTAAGTGTTAGACCAATTAAACCCTTGATTCTTTTTGTAGGAGAGAGGGAGGGGGTGGCCAACATACCCGACCTGGTACTAAGTGCCAACCAACTTAACCCTTGATTCTTTTTGTAGGAGAGAGGGAGGGGGTGGCCAACATACCAGACCTGGTACTAAGTGCCAGACTAACTAAACCCTTGATTCTTTTTGTAGGAGAGAGGGAGGGGGTGGCCAACATACCCGACCTGGTACTAAGTGCCAACCAACTTAACCCTTGATTCTTTTTGTAGGAGAGAGGGAGGGGGTGGCCAACATACCCGACCTGGTACTAAGTGCCAGACCAACTTAACCCTTGATTCTTTTTGTAGGAGAGAGGGAGGGGGTGGCCAACATACCCAACCTGGTGCTGAGTGCCAGACGAGGCGCCGTGGATATTGACTGGATGCTGGCTTACTCAGAACTTAAGAAGCTCATCCGCGACTTGAAGGAGACCTTTGGTCAGAATAGGATGGAGGGGTCTAGTTATCCTGGTATGTTGTCCTCATTTTAAATGTTTTTTTTGTTGTATGTATACACGCTACTTTAGTTATACACATATATGTTGCTTTAGTTATGCAGATACATTCTTTTAAAGATACACATATTTGTTCCTTTAGTTATACATATATCCATTCTTTTAGTTATACATATTTACATTGTTTTAACTATACACATATATGTTTCTTTAGTTATACACATATAGGGCCTACTTTCCTTTAGTTATACACATGTATGATGCTTTAGTTATACACATATACGTTCCTTTAGTTATACACATGTACAGTGCTTTAACTATAAACAAATATGTTTCATCCTGTCACTTTGACCTCTCATACATCCATACAATTTCCACAAAACAAAGCCTCCACCACCTTCTCTATACATATATATATCAAACATATCTATATATCTATATATATATATACACATTCGTACACTCACACAAACTTAGCCACCATACATATATAGTCACACACATTATAACACATACTTAATTTGCAGATTCGTTTTCTTTATTAGATTTCAATCACATTTATTGACAAAATATACATCGATAGCTGTTTTTGTATAAGTATAAGGTCAAAATTAATTTAATCAACTATCTATCTGTTTGTATATTTATTCCAGCAAAATTAGAACGTAAGAAAAGCAGGAAAATGATTTTTGCAGGTAAATCAGGTAGGCGAAAACATATTAACGTATCACATCAGCTTGTAATTCACAACATACACATCATATCAGCATATCATACACATTACAACAGCATATCAACATATCAATATGCACATTATATCAGCATCATATCACCATACCAAATTAACAGTTGGCAAAATCTGTGCACAACAGAATATGTAAGCAAATTTTTAATTGTCAGATAAAGACAGTTATAAATTTTTGAACATGTTCTTACGATTGTGTTGCAGAACAAGTACCAAGAACAGAGTCCCAGAACTTAAAGAGAAACAAGAAGGGAAGTGTGAGAATCAGTGAGTTACCTAAGCCTTGGTGTTGTGGTTGTTTAGAAAACACTTTCTAATATTATACCATGACTAGTGTTTCTTTCAGACATTTTTCTACAGTGGGATGAGGGGGGCACATTTAACACTCAGGGTTGGGGGACTTAAATTTCCGGGTAGGGGGCGGACACTGGTTTAAGTATATATTTTCTATATCTTCTTCTTCTTAATCCCTTTAGTGCCCAAGACACATGGGGCAGATGAAGTAGAGTTCATCTGATTCATAGGGATAGTGTGGTCAGCACTATGCCCAGCCGCTTTTGTTTCCCTAACATAAGTTAGGTACCCATCAGAGCTGAGTGGACTCAGGGACGTTCCACTGGTTTTAACCTGGATTCGAACTCGAGACTGATGTTAGAAGTCTAGCTCTCTACCACTAAGCCATATAATACATATATATACAATATATATATACAATATATACAATATATCTTATCTATTTTTCTCGGAAGGGGAGGATGGGGGGGGGGGGATTCTGACCATAATTTACCTGACTTAGTGCTCTGTTTTTACTGTAGAGCTAGGGATAGGGCCTCCACCTTCGTCTTCCATTGTATCCAGTCCCCAGCAGAGTATTTTCTATTTCCCTAGACATCCCCGTGGTCTCTCGTTGTTTTGAGAAAAATCCACCTCCGTCTTGGATGTCCTCTCTTTCAACTCACTTGGGGTTCTTATCAAGTACCAGATGTGTCACATTTGTGACATTTTACCATTATCATCATCATAGGTCCTCTCCACTCCCCATGGTCTCCTGCGACTCTTTTCAGCTATTCACAATTCCCTCCTATCCTCTCAGCCTCCCCCAGCATGCTACATCACCATGTCTTCTTGGGTCTATATTATACCATATTAGATCCTAATTGATTTGAATGTTTTAATGTATTGAAATATATTTCTCACATTTAAGAAAAAATTCCAGCGAGAGACTGGAGTCCTTTAGTTTTTACCAAAACAATAAACATTAGACCAACTCAACTGGAATAGCTAGATATTTGCTTAATTACCAATACATTTATTGTATGAAAGCTGTTCTCTTTTCTGTCTTAGAAATGAAAGACAAAGATGAGCCAAAAAGAGCAACCAAGTTTTCTGCGACTGTTTCCTACAGTGGGGATAGTGTGTCTAGTGGTGATGAGGACATGATGCTGGACACTGGTCATTCAGGTCAGTTCTAACGCTGCTAAAGTATTTTGTTTTGCCAATCTGGTTTTTGTTAACTGTGTTGATTTACCTGACTTGCTTGGGATCAAGTTCACTTGAAACTAGTGGTTATAATTGTAGATATAGATAAAGAGTTTTAAATATTTAATCAAAGAAATGGTTTTTTGGAAATTCCCATTTTAAAGGTTCTAGATGATGTTTTAAATATTTTTGATCTGTTATACGTAATGTGATGTTTGCATTCAGGAAAAAAACTTATTGATCTGTTGCAGAATACATCTTTTTTATATACTTTTTCATTGTTGGTGTAGGCAGAAATGTTTTATTACATTAACAAAGCAGCATTACAACACAACTTGTCATTACATTGAGATGGGTTAGGACATTACCCCCTGTGCCATTTCCCTCATCTCTGTCAATTTTGTGTAGGTTAATGTCAAGGGGGTAATTTATCCAGGTAGGATAATGTACAGGGGTGGGGGTCAATTTATTTAGGTAGAGGGATGGTAGAGGGGGGTGATGTACATTGGGGTAATTGATCCAGAGAGGGGGGGGGGGGTAATGTTCCCCTGGGAGGGGGGGGGGGGTTAATTTAATTAGGTGGAGGGATGGCAGATGGGGGGTAATGTACATTAGTAGGGGGGGGAGGAGAAGGGGTAATGTTCAGGTGGGGGGGATGGCAGAGGAGGTAATTGACGGAGGTATAAAAATTATTGTCTTACCAAAATGTTACTTTACATTTTACAAAAAGTTAATGAAATATGAATAAAAAAATTTTGCCAGGCTCACAAGATACATATCCAATATTTTTACACACATGAGTTTAGCATTGGATACCACTGTACAATATGTGGTCTATACAATATGCAGGTGTATCTCATTGATAAGAAGTTAATTATTTCCTTCAGTGGATCAACCCCAGTGGAGTCCCACTGTGCCACAACAAAGCCAGTCCACTGATGTCACAGGTGTGGGTAAACTGGGGGGTGAACAAGCCCAGGGAGGTGACGCCGAGCAGGGGGATGTGGCCCGGACAAATGGTGAGACGCCCCAGTCTGTTGTGACCAGCAGTGGTGAGCCACAAGCCAGCAGATTGTCTCACCAATCCAAGGGCAGATCATCCAGAATAAGGGGAAGTCACTCTAAAAGCTCAACACTGATGGATAACAAAATACAGAAAATAAAGTAAAAAATTATTTTTTTAAAGTTAATTTAAAAACTGTTTAATTTTTATTTAAATAAAACAACAACCAACAACTGGTACTGGTATTATCTTTTAGTGATAAGGATACTGTTTTAAAAGAAGTAGAGTTTGTTTGTAAGAAAGAAGAGTTTCTTTGCCTGCTTGATTTGCTAATATACAGCAGTTTAATTGACATCCAAGGCAACTTAATATTCAACCATATGTGACATTCCACCACTAACTTGACTGGAGGAGGTTGGGCATCACTAGCATTGAATTATTTTATGAATGAAGTTATCGGAACTATGAACTGTATCATTAGAGCAGACATGTATTCATGAAGTTATATGAATCATGTACTGCATCACTAGAGAAGGCATATATTAATTAAGTTATCTGAACTATGTATTGTATAACTAGGACAGACATGTATTCATGGAGTTTTTGGAATTATGTACTTCATCACTAGAGTAGGCATATATAAATGAGGTTATCTGAACTATGTATTGTATAAGTAGGACAGACATGTATTCATGAAGTTATATGAATTAAGTACTGCCCCATTAGTCTAAGATATGTTGTACTTGTCTATCCCAGCAGGCCAGCAGGAAATGGTCAGCAGAAGACTGACCCAGGGGAGGCTGTACTGGACATGAGAACTGACCTAGTTCAAAGCCATGACCTACTTGTAAGCCATTTTTGATTTTATAAGTTCACACAAAATTCACCTTTGTTATGTTATTTTGTTGTATTTTTACTTGGAGACTGTTTACTAAGGCTGGGAAGGGGAGGTCAATCTTTAACCCTAGGTGTACTGTGTGTTAAAAGTTCTCCTATATACATGTGGGCTTAGTGAGCAGACAAATGGATTTTGTCCTTGATGTGTAAATGAATTGAATGCCTAACTACCATAACATTTAGCTCAAGGTGTATGAAAGAATTGTTGATGTAACATTTTCTGACTCATGCCAGACACTAATTTAAGCTGAATGTGCTCGAGTGTCACTATTTTGTTATACCTAACATTGTGTAGGTATTTTTAGGGTAGAGTTAGACAAACATTATTTAGGATGGTAATATTTGGATTTATTCAGTGAGTTACCTACCCTAGGGTAAGATATTAATTTTAGTCATTAAAATTTTGATTGATTCAGTGAATTACCTCCCTTAGGATACGACAATTGTTTAGGTTATTAAGATTTGGATTAATTCCGTGTGTTACCTTCCCTAGAGTAGGAACATTGTTTAGGCCATGGTCAGTATAATTTTGGATTAATTCAGTGAGTTATCTCCCCTAGGGTAAGACACATTTAAGTTATTAAGATTTGGATTGATTCAGTGTGTTACCTCCCCTAAAGTAGGAAAATTGTTTATGGCAAAGTCAGTATAAATTTGGATTAATTCATTGAGTTATCTCAACTAGGGTAAGCTGGTGAGCAGAAGTAACCTGAAGTGGAGAGAAGCTGAGGCTGAGAGTGATCTCCCTGCTGTCTATGCTGGACATATAGTGGCCATCAAAACTATGAGGAAACTAGAGGTAATGTACATGTAGTGTACTTTCTGATGGGGGTTGGGGGGGGAGTTATGGTAGGTTATGGAGCCACCTTCTCGAGTTTAATCCGGGTTCAAGTTAGTAGACAGTCTCTGAGTCCACCCAACTCTGATGGGTATCTAACTCACATTAGGGAAAGTAAAAGCGGCTGGGCATAGTGCTGACCACACTATCTCTTCATATGCCGAGGTCACAGAAACAAGTGAACTCTACTTCATTTGCCCTATTGCCCTATAGACCGTCAGGTTTGATATAGACCGTCAGGTTTGAAAGAGAACTTTTGGAGCCACCTATGTAATAGTATTATAAGCCTAATGTAACCTTTATCTTTTTTTTTTATTTAAAAATTTTTTTTTAATGTAATGCCACGTGCCATCTCATTATTGAAATGATTGTTACCATTAAAATACTATGACAAATTGGGGTATTATGTAATAGTTGTGGTCATGTGATATCTCATTTGTCATGTAATATTTGTGGACATGGCACACTTAAAGTGATGTCACTTGTCATTTGTCATATTGCGTTTGTTGACATGGTACACCGTAAAGTGACATTAGCTCAGTTTTCGTGTCAAATTTGTACCATCTGTTCACCTATCTTGCTCACGTAGTTTGTCATACAATGTCACCAGGGCCACATGAGTGCTGTCGTATGCCTATGGTTCGACGTACGTCGCATCGTCACGTGTGGGCTGGACCGCACTATACGATTATGGGACGTGCGCAGTGGGAGGAGCCTCCATAAATTTCTTGGACATCTGGTACAAGTTCATACCACCCATTCCATCATAGACCCCAAGTCAAACCTTTACACTACCTGATTTTTACTTAAATAGTAACCCCATCAAACTTTAGCCTAAACAATAACCCCATTAAAACTGTTGCTTAAACAATAACTCGATTAAACTTAAATATCAACCTTGGTAAACTTTAACCTAAACATTGTCTCTGATAAACATTAATCTAAACAATAACCTCATAAAATTTAGCCTAAACTTCAACCCCAATAAAATTTAACCTAAACATTGTCTATGATAAACATCGATCTAAACAATGATCCCTTCAGACTTTAAAACTTAAATATTAACCCCCCCCAAACTATAATCTAAACAAGAACCACAATAAACTTGAATCCAAACAATAACCTAAACACTAACCCCTATAAACTTTAATCTAAACAATAGCCCTTATAAATTTTAGTATAAACAATAATGCCATCAAACTTTAAACTTAACTTTAACACCACCAAGCTATAACCTAAACAGCAATCACAATAAACATAAATCTAAACAATAACCCCATCAAACTTAAACCCAAACACAACACCCAACAAATCATTAAATCCATCCCATCCAAATTTCAACCTAATCTTGAACCCCATCAAAACTAACCTAAAACTTAAATGTAACCTTTGAACTTTTGCAGGGTGGGGTGAGGTGTGTTCAGTTTGATAATGACATTCTGGCTACAGGTTCCTGGGACAGCCTCATTATGGTAAGAGAACTGGGGACATTTTCTTGTTTTACTCTCTATTTTAAGCCTCATCTTTTCCCATTTTTGATTAAGATACATGTGGCTGATGAAGTAGAGTTTATCGGTTTCAATTACCTTGTCATACAGGGGGATAGTGTAGTCAGCACTATGCCCGCCGCCATTATTTCCCTGAGTCAGGTATCCATCAGAGCTGGGTGGACTCCAGTACATCCTGCACACTTGAGCTTGGAATCCGAACAGTTGTGAGCTCTACCATCGGACCATACCATCCCTCGCCATTACCAGCCTATTAAGTAAACTAAGTTGTTTTATAGTGCCTTCTATTTAAATACTTGACCTCAAAAACTGCATAAGTATTTTGTCATAATTTAATTCTTTTTCATATATATTTCTGTCAGTTGACAACTAGTTAATATATTAATTAAAATAATTCATAATAATACCTGCAATGTGCAGATTTTTATTGAATTTCTAGATATTTTCTTTAGCTTATAACGATGTATAGGCTCTGATTAGAATCAACCTTCTTTATTAAAAAAAAATTATTGTATAAAAAAAACAATTTTAATTAATAAAGGGAGCTAAGTCTTGTTTTGAATTAAATTAGTATTTTCTTCAATGATTTCCCTTGGAATGATAAGGATTTAAAAAAGAAAATCTTACAATTATGATAAGAAATTTTAAGTTTATTAAATATGTATTTATTAACTTGTTTGGGAAGTTAAATAACCATTTGTTAATTATATATTTTAAATTCTTGATATTGTGTCTATCTGTGTGGAATAATCCGCTCATACATAACATATAATGGAATAGCTTGGTCAGATAATAGAAATATAGACTGTGTGGACTCAAGTCACAGCCAGTGAAGATATTCCTTTGCTGTGATTGATGTATTGATGTTGACAAAGGCTTAGGATGGTGGTGTGATGGTGACCGGTGGTTTGATGTGGACGTGTCATTTGACTGTTGTTATGTTTACTTTTTTTAGATCTGGGACATGAAGCACTTGACCAACATCACCATCCTACATGGCCATAGGGACTCTGTCACGTGCCTGGAGTTTAACTCAGACTTTCTGTAAGTGGTGATATGACATATGACATGTTTGTGGTGACATGACATATGACATGTATGTGGTGGCATTAATGACATTTCAACTCTCTGGTGATATGACATTTGACATGTATCTGGTGACATTGATGACATTTCAACTATTACTTTCTGTATTTGGTGATATGACATATGCCATGTATGTGGTGACCTTAATGACATTTCAACTCTCTGGTGATATGACATATGACATATTTGTAGTGGCATTAATGACATTTCAACTCCTACTTTCTGTATCTGGTGATATGACATATGACATGTGTTGACCTTGATGACATTTCAACTCAAACTTTCTATAAGTGGTGACATGAAATATGACAATTTGAACAATGACATTTGAACTCATAAAAAACAAAAGTATACAGATAGCATTAAGATATTTGTAAAATAGGCAACACATAAACTCATAACGGACAATATATAAATATATTTGTGACATTAATGACATTGAAACTCATGATTTCTGTAAGTAATGACATGACAATTATGAGGTGACATTGATGACATTTATATGTAGCAACATGACACATGACAGGCATGTGAAGTCTTTAATCACATTTGAACTCATAAAGAACAAAAAGCATCCGTACAACATAAAGACATTTGTATAATGTTCACCACCAATTGTTTTGTTTTTCTTTCTGTAATGGTCACAGAGTCTCAGGATCCAAAGATGGCACTGTGAGGGTCTGGTATCGTCCAACGTTTTACTGTGCCAGGGTAATCAACCTGAGCGCCCCATTGGTCAGTTTTGTTCTTGTGCAGCACGACATCATCACTAGTACTGCCGACTTGTAAGTACTCACACGCACAGCGTACAGTTTGTGTTATGGTACATTTTAAGAACTTATATGCACAACGTGTATTGCATGTTTTCTTAACATTATAGATCAAGTATTATAAAGAATTTGTCAGTACATTCTGAGCACATATACAACTTAATTTTCATAACATTAAACAAATATGGGATGGCATGGCCTAGTGGTAGAGCGCTAGACTGCTAACCCAAAAATCTCAAGTTTAAATCTGTCTCCTAGTCCACCCAGCTCTGATGGGTACCTAACTCACATTATTAAAAGTAAAGATGGCTGAGCATAGTGCTGACCACATTTTCCCTTCATATGCCAAGTTCACAGTAACAGGTGAACTCTACTGCAGTTGCCCCATTGACCGTCAGGTTTGAAAAGGGAACTTTAATTTAAATAGTATATTTTATAGATTACTTTTTTATAACAGTATGTGTGCGGGTTATACAATACCTGTTTGTGATAGCAAATTTTGTGTTAGGGCACTAACAATTACTATAATACAGTACATAAAATCTGTGTATCTGCACCCAATGTATCTGTATCCCATGTATCTGCACTCCATGTATCTGTACCTCATGTATCTGTACTCCATGTATCTCTACCCCATGTATCTGTATCCCATGTATCTGTATCCCAGTCCCCCATCTCCACACCATCCCCACCACCACACACAGACAGCAACAGGTTTACCTCTAAACTCCACTTGGAAGACACACCGCCTACCCACAGTTAAAAGAATTCCCTCACATTTCCACCAACCCACCTCCCAAAATTTTATTCTCCCCCCATCTTTACAAAAAATCCCCTGAAACTATGCATCTGTTTGGAGATGTTCTAAGTAAGCTCAACCCCCGTCTGACACCTGTTTTTGTTCTTACAAATAAAAAAAAAAATCATTTCGTAAAGCGGTATCTTGCCCTGCTATTTTGGTCTGACTCTGGAGCCTCCACCTGGCCATGCCGTGTCTACCACTTGCCCGGTTGCTTGAAAAAGATGGCCTCCTAAATTTGACACCTTTAACATGGGCCCCGCCATGTGCTCGGGCCCGCACTGCGTACTTAAATTTCTTATCTGGAAATAAAATGTATCTGTTTATAGCGGTGGGATGGGGGATATTATTTACGATTATTTATGATCAGTAAATCTTTCTAGCATTTTGGGGTCTTTTTTTTATAAGAAAAGGGAGATATGCAAGTTTATAAAAAATGAGATTTAAAAAAAAAAAATTTTTGGCCATTAAAACAACAGCCGGAGAAATAATCGTCAAGAAGTGAGTTTTTTTAAATGAGGCGAAAAAAAAATGGATGCTGCAATAAAGAAATTTTAAAAAAAAAAAAGGGTAGCTGTCGCGCACTTAGGTGAAGGTCAAGGTCACTTTAAGTTCACCGCTGTTTCACATGTCTACGTATTATAGGGGGGGTGGTAAAATAGGAGGGGGGATAGACTTGAAGACTAGAGCCACGTGACAAACTAGCAATCATTTTAAAATACCTAGCCGCCAGCTCACTTCAAAAACCCGAACATCAATCAGTTCGACTAACCGGTACACCAAGCTCTATAATCAAACCAAACCCAAACATACAACACCTCTAATACTTACCTTTACAACTCGAATACCAGCATGGTATCCTGAACCCTAATCTCAACCTCAACACAATAAACCCTAATCTTAAAACACCAAACCTTTAATCTCAACAACCCTAACCTTAAAGCATCAAACCCTAACCTTAAAGCATCAAACCCTAACCTTAAAGCATCAAACCCTAACCTTAAAGCATCAAACCCTAACCTTAAGAACCATAAACATTGCTTAACAAAAACACACAACACGAACAGTGGCATCAATAAGGGCTCTACATTGGTTATCACATTTGTTTTGTTATTGTTATTGAGAATGCGATAGCGTAGTCCAGTGCATGAGCATACAACTGCTAACCCGAAAGTCTCGAGTTCGAATCCGGATTCAAGTCCGCAGAGCGTCACTAGGTCCAACCAGCGCCGCTAGGTACCTGATTCACCTTAGGGAAAGCAAAAAAGCTGTAGTGCTGACCATACTAACCCTTCATATGCCCAGATTACGGAAACATGTGAACTCTACTTCACTTGTCTTATGGTTCGAAAGGGAACTTAACCTATTCTTATTGAGTTGGTGAATGAACTATCGTAAAAAAGCCAGTTTTTTTTAAAAAAATGTAATAATCTTTTTTCATGATTTATCACTAGCCGTATTACTCTTTCAAACATGGCTGTCCATTTGGCAATAAAGTAGAGTTCGTCTCTGTGACCTCAGCATATGATGGGTCATGATTTAGTGTTAATGCTTTCCCTGAAGTATGTCAGGCACCCGTCAGAGCTGGATGGCGGAGGCGTAGCGAGGAGGGGGGCATATGTCCCCGGGCGTCGACCCTAGGGGGCGCCAAAATGGGTTGAAAAAATATTTAAAAACTCATTTTAGCTGCAGTTTTGCACTGTAAATATAAAAAAATATATTGGGGAGGGGGGCGCCGAATGGAAAGTTTGTCCCCGGGCGCCGGGAAGGGTCACTACGCCTCTGCTGGGTGGACTCTAGTACGTCTTTCGTGCTCACACCTGTGATCCGAAAACTCCAGGAAGTCCTCACACCCATGATCCGAACTCAAGATTTTCGTCTAGCAGCCGTACGCTCTACCACCCAACCACACCATCCTTGTTAGCTTTAATGGCCAGTGTTTCCACCAAGCCCCACTGCTCTACAACTTTGGAACCCTTGTTTTTTTTCAGGTGCACTCAGATGGTGGATGTGGCCACAGGGGATCTCAAGTTAAAGTTTGAGTCACCACTTGGGGAGGTGAACAGTTTGTTGGTGAGTTGAATGGCGAGTTGGCTTGTGGCTGAGTGATTTAAATTACAAGTAGATTTGTTGACTGATGTATTTAATCCAGTTCCCAGACAAATGCGCAAATGGAAAAATGCGAAAATGGAAAAACCAGGTAGTCTAGTATCATTTAATGTATGAATCCACACACGATATTATTACTGAATATCACCTAATATCACTTGAATACTGACACATCACCTAATGTTGTATGAACCCCACACATACCACCCCACACATACAGTCCCCCCACACATACCAGCCTAACATACCACCCACAAATACTACCCCACACATACTACCCACCCACTCATACCTAACCACACATACCACCCACACGTACCGCCCCACACATACCACCCACCCATACCACCGCCCCACACATACCACCTATTCATACCACCCATTCATACCACCCCACACATACCGCCCCACACATGGGCTGCCCCACACATACTGCCCCACACATACCAACCACCCACACATACCACCCACCCACACATACCACCCATTCATACCACCCCACACATACTGCCCCACACATACTGCCCCACACATACCACCCACCCACACATACCACCCCACACATACCGCCCCACACATACTGCCCCACACATACTGCCCCACACATACTGCCCCACACATACTGCCCCACACATACCGCCCCACACATACCACCCATTCATACCGCCCCACACATACCGCCCCACACATACTGCCCCACACATACTGCCCCACACATACTGCCCCACACATACTGCCCCACACATACCACCCACCCACACATACCACCCATTCATACCACCCCACACATACTGCCCCACACATACTGCCCCACACATACTGCCCCACACATACCACCCACCCACACATACCACCCATTCATACCACCCCACACATACTGCCCCACACATACTGCCCCACACATACCAACCACCCACACATACCACCCACCCACACATACCACCCCACACATACCACCCCACATATACCACCCCACACATTCCACCCACACATACCACCCCACACATCCCACCCACCCACACATACCACCCGATGCCACTAGACTCCAGACATATGACAATATGCCCTGTGACTCCCACGCACACTTGCACCCGCTGCCCCGTGACGTAACACCCCAGACCCTCTCTTCCCCTGACATTGAACCCCATGACCCCCCATCTATTTTTATCTTCGTCCGACGCCCGAGATAGCATCAGGGTTTTTTTTGTTATTGATAGCCTTGATTTGATCATCTCGCAGTGAGGGGAGATCACTCGCCGGGCTCGTCTATTAACTTGTTTGTATTTTCCTACTGGCTTATCTCCCTCCCTTATGTACACAGGCAGCTGAAGGGTCGTCCATTGTCTTGTGTGAGTGGGGGTGTTGTGGGGGGGGGGGGGATGTGTGTGGTTGGGGTGTGGAGTTGGTGAGTGTATGAGAATATGGCTTTTGTTTAACGTATGGGGGAACTGTTCTAACATATACCTGCATTTTGTGTTTGGTTTGTTAATTAACTCTAATTAAGTGTTGCATGAAACGGCGGAATCACTCTCTGCATCCCCCCTCCTATTTTTCGCCGTCTTACTATATCTTTAATGTCTGACTTCATACTTACTGTCTCACTTGATATTCATTGTTTCACTTCATATTCATTGTCTCACTTACGCTTTAATGCCTCACCTCGTGCTCACTGTCTCACCTTTTCTCACAGTATCACCACTGTCTCACTATCCCTGACTCACCACGTTCACCATTTCATCACGTCGTTACTGACTCGCCGTCTTACCCCCACCACCCACCAACCTCTTTGAATCCCCCCCCCCCCCCACCCGTCACCACCCCACCCCATCACTTCCAGAAGAACAAGTCAAACCTTATTGTAAAATTGAGAGAGAAAAAAAAAAGTTTCTTCAACTACCCTCGTTTGTTCAAATATGTCGGTCGGTTCTGTTGGTTTGTGCTTTCAGAATTTTCTTTACAGCCCCCCCCCCCCCGATCTCCTGCCCCCAATCATCCTAACCCCAATCATCCTAACACATCACCACTCCACACCCACCCCTCACCCATTAGCAAAATTCTATTATTTAAAAAAAAACAACTAATTTTCAAGCATTGATACTTCATAGCCTTGTCATTTTCTTCAGTCGCAGTATCTTCCCTTTGATTTTTTTTAAAGAAAAAATAACCTCTTACCTCCCTTATAATTTAGCCCTACGTGGTTAAATTCCCTTTTCCATATATTTAAATAAAAAAAATTCGCTCCCCTTTATTTTCACCTATCAGGTTGTCGGTAATTTGATGATTGGGGCCGACGCACAGGGTCGGGCCTGTTTCTGGAACCATCTGTCCGGCGAGCTGGAGGCGGCGGTTCAAGTCCACGACGCTCCCGTCAACAAACTGGCCTACCACAACGGTCACTTTTACACAGCATCCAGGTCAGTGGGACTTCCGTGACTTCCGGTGCCGCCAGAGGCATTGTTATTCTAACCTCGTTCTGAAATCCTGTTTAAAAAAAAATTGAAGTGTTTGTTTGTTGTTGCAGTGATTCGACTGTGAAGGAGTGGGACCTAAAGACAATGACCTGTTTAAGAGTGCTGAAAGGTCATTTAGGTCCTGTCAGGGATGTCAAGGTATGTTGTTTTTTGTTGACATCTAAACTTGGTCGTGTACATGTACTTTTGTAATGTACACATACACACTTGTTTTCACGCCTATTAATACCCCCAGGCCATGAACCACTGCCCCACCAACCATTGGCCCACAGACCACCAACAACTGGCCCACAAAGTATTGGACCACAGTCCACGTCCACTAACCACCTGCCCATAAACCATTGAACCACAGGCCCACCTACCACTGCCCCACCAACCACAGGCCCACACACCATTCACCATCAGTCCACGGCCCACCAACCATAGACCCACCTACCACTGGCCCACTAACCACAGGCCCACACACCATTCACCATCAGTCCACGGCCCACCAACCATAGACCCACCTACCACTGGCCCACCAACCACAGGCCCACACACCATTCACCATCAGTCCACGATCCACCAACCATAGACCCACCAACCACTGACCCACCAACCATAGGCTCACCAACCACAAGCCCACACACACACCATTCACCATCGTTCCACGGCCCACCAACCACTTGCCCACCAACCATAGGCCCACCAACCATAGGCCCACACACACCATTCACCATCGGTCCACGGCCCACCAACCATTCCAGACATGCCTGTAAAACCACGTCCAATTTTGTTTTGGCATCTGACAATCACCCCTCCACCCACTCCTACCCCCCCCCCCCCCCACCCCCACCGTTATTTCCAGACCCACGGAACATTCTCCCCCCATCCAATGCAATTAACTCCAACCTGTCGCCTATATTTTAGCTCCATCGCCGGGGCACCTGCTCGTGGCTGGCTCTGGAACCGATGCTGTCACGAGCTCGGAAACAAAGAGCAAGGGGAGATAAATGAGGTCTTTTGAAGAGCCGTACCGCGTGCTCGGATAACCATCTTCTCCGTCTTTCAAAATACCTTTCATCTTCATGTTGGTTTTTTTATATACATACGTGTGTATATATATATATATATTCAGCCTTCTCTACCTCTTGTACGTACGCCTATACTCATCAACACTTCGTTTAAATATACATCGACTCATCATTTTGACGAGGAGAATGTCGATATTGGTGGGGTGGGGGGGGGGGGGGGGGGGGGGGGGCGGGGGGGTTATATCACCTAATAAAATAGGTTCGTGCTTACGTCAAGGACTATGTCCACCCTGGTTTATGTCAATATTCCGTACCTGTATATTTGAATTTTCCGTACCGGTAAATGTGAATTGTCCATACCGATAAATTTGAATGGTTCATGACGGGTAAATGTAAATTGCCCTTGCCGGATATTATTAAATTTGCCATGCAGGTAAATTTAAATTATATCCAATGCCAGTTGTTGTTAAGCATGTCTGTAAAGGTGTCGTGATTGTTTAAAGGTTAAATATCTATCTTTGCTTTGATCTTTGACCCGGTAGGTTTAACATCTTGACCTACAAGTGCTTATATCTTGACAACTTCTTGACTGCATTCCCTCAATCTACAGATAAGCAAAAGTTTAATAAGTCTAGAAAAAAAATTGCGTTTTTTTTTTTTTTTTTTTTTTTTTTTTTTTTGTGTAACTCTATTTTAAAATAGATCTAGATATGTTTTATATTTTACAAAATTATTTACATTTTTTTAACTTGTCATTTCAATTTTCAAAAATTCTCGTCAAAAATGTCCCGTCCCCCCCAAAATACTTTTTTTTTTTACAACCTTTCTAGTTTGTCTAAACACGGTTCCACCCCTAAGACAATGTCTGATCTCTTTAACACGTTGATGAAAGATAGGTTCGTTCGTGGGTAGTTTTTTTTTTTTTTCTCTTCTTCTTCCCTCTTCGCGTTCACTTCCAATTGTGTTCTGTGAGGAAGATCTACGAGACAAGAAAAGACAACTCAAGGAGCAGAATGATGTCACGAGATGAAGGGAAGTAATGCGGAGATCGCTATGCGAGATTATCGCTTTGCCAAACTCATTTATATATCACCTGTTGTTGAAAGTGTTTTTTTTTTTTTTACCTTTTGTTATGTGTCATGGGAATACACCTGTTGGTGGTGGTGTCAATACATTAGTGCAGTGGTGCTGTCGATATGGTGGTTGTGATGGTGTCGATATGTTGGTGGTGATGGTGTCGATATGTTGATGGTGTTGTCGATATGTTGGTGGTGATGATGTAGATATGTTGGTGATTTTTTGTCGATATTTTGGTGATGATGGTGTCGATTTGTTGTTGGTGTTGTCGATATGTTGGTGGTGATGATGTCAATATGGTGTTGGTGGTGATGTCTATATGGTGTTGGTGGTGATGTCGATATTTTGGTGATTTTGTCGATATGTTGGTGGTGATGTCGATGTGTTGGTGTTGTCGATCTGTTGGTGATGTTGTCGATATGGTGGCGGTGGTGATGTCGATATTTTGGTGGTGTTGTCGATGTTTTGGTGTTGCTGTCGAAACATTGGTGGTGGTTATGTCAACACATTGTCGATGTGTTGGTGTTGCTGTTGTGTTGTGTTGTAGGTGTTATCAATATGTTGTTGGAGGTGATATCGATAAGCTGGCGATGTTGTCGATTTGTTTATTTGTACTCTCATATTTGTAGTACTATCACTACTAGTGCATCAATGATTACGCAGATGTATTGCTGGCCTTGTTGTTCTTCTGACAAATGTTTTCAACGCGGTCGAGAGTATAAAACTCAATTATATTTAACGAGTAATAATTTAGTCGGGGTTTTAGTGACGCTGATTCCGTGGTTCAAAAGCGAGTATTGAAGATATGGCACAATCAAAGACTACTGATCATGTGACCCTATCGCGAGTTCTAATCACGTGAAACTACCGTGAGTAGGCCTACTGATCACGTGACCCTATCACGAGTACTGATCACGTGACCCTATCACGAGTACTGATCACGTAACCCTATCACGAGTACTGATCACGTAACCCTATCACGAGTACTGATCACGTAACCCTATCACGAGTACTGATCATGTGACACTATCGCGAGTACTGATCATGTGACCCTATCGCGAGTACTGATCATGTGACCCTATCGCGAGTACTGATCATGTGACCCTATCGCGAGTTACTAATCACGTGACACTATCGCGAGTACTGATCATGTGACCCTATCGCGAGTACTGATCATGTGACCCTATCGCGAGTACTGATCATGTGACCCTATCGCGAGTTACTAATCACGTGACACTATCGCGAGTACTGATCATGTGACCCTATCGCGAGTACTGATCATGTGACCCTATCGCGAGTTACTAATCACGTGACACTATCGCGAGTACTGATCATGTGACCCTATCGCGAGTACTGATCATGTGACCCAATCTCAAATTCGATTCGATATCGAGCCCCAGACCCCCACACCATGTGACCGACAGCCGTTGGCTCCGCCATCTTCACCAGCACGTGAGTGACGACATTTGGTCATAATCTCGACACCGCACTGTTTGGTCTGATGTCGGCATAATCTCGAACCCGAGCTGGTGGCGGCCCTTGTGTTTGAAGCCGCGGTGACCTGGCCGTTGCAGCAGTCAGGGGCAGACAACTGCGGCACATGGCCATCCTCTGGCCGGGTGGATGTCTGCTGATCTCCCCTGTTCTCGTCTGGTTTACTCCCCTTGCTGATTACTTTTTTTTTTTTTTTTTTTTTTTTTTTTTTTTTTTTTTTTTTGGCAGTCGTCAGCCAAACTAACAAACTTTTGGCTTTTACAAATCTTGAGTTTTGTTGGCTGTGGTGTTTGGCTTTACAAATACTGGGAACGGGATTTAAAAAAAAAAAAAAAATTAAATTACGGAGAAAGATCTAGAATTTAGAGTCGAGGAGAAAGAAATAGGGAGAAAGACCTAAAGCCGAAGAGAAAGAAATCAGGAAAAAGGCAGACAAATGAACAGAGGCGTAGCGAGAGGGGGGGGGCGGGGGGGGGGGGGGGACATATGTCCCCGGGCGCCGACCTTAGGGGGGTCGCCAAATTGAAAGTTTGAGGGGGGGGGGTGCAAATGAAAAGTTCGAGGGGGGGTGCGAATCGAAAGTTTTGTCCCCGGGCGCCGGGAGGGGTCGCTACGCCTCTGCAAATGAACAATCGAAAGAAATCAGGAAAAAGACAGACAAATGAACAATCGAAAGAAATCAGGAAAAAGACAGACAAATGAACAATCGAAAGAAATCAGGAAAAAGACCGACAAAAAAAAAAAGAAATTAGAAAAAAAAGAAATAAATAGGAAGAAAGACAGCGTTGAACTTTGAAGAGAAAGTGAGAGGGTCGAAAGTGCGATTGAGAGGTCGATAGAGATATCTATCAGTGCTAACTTGAGTTTAGGCGTGAGGTTCGGCTGTGTAGAGAGTTTATGGAAACTATTGGCTGGATGAATAGCTGAGTTCACGCGGTGCATTCAATACAGTGTAGTAAGAACAGGCGCCTATCTACGTAACGGACGGATTGATTGCTCATTACTGTCTATATTATATATATATATATATATATATATATATATATATATATATATATATATATATATATATATATATATATATATATAGAGAGAGAGAGAGAGAGAGAGAGAGAGAGAGAGAGAGAGAGGGCGGGGGGGACATATGTCCCCGGGCGCCGACCTTAGGGGGCGCCAAAATAGGTTGGAAAAATAAATTAAAAAGCTTGAGGGGGGTGCCAATCGAAATCTTGAGGGGGGGGGGGAGTGCAAATTGAAATCTTGAGGGGTGCAAATCGAAAGTTTGAGGGGGGGGGGGGGTGCAAATCGAAATCATGAGGGGGGATGCAAATCTAAAGTTTGTCCCCGGGCGCCGGGAAGGGTCGCTACGCCTCTGGCTTTGAGTGTGTTTGGTTAGGGTCATTATGCCGTGGGTCAGAATTTGTAATAAAATTTTATTTAGTTCACAATCCCCTTCGTTTTTATGTAGGCCCCCTATATAGCAAAGCTTTAAACTCAATTTTGACCCACTTAAGTTTCCAGATAAATAAGTCTCCGTCGGCGTCGCACGAATATCCAATTGTAATCAAATTACAATATTAAATGAGTCATACAAAAATTAAACTAAAGATTACTCTATTCAGTACCAAAAGGGGCGATAAAAATGTTAATTTCTAGCGGTACACGATTCCTCGGGAGAGCTGTATTTGATATATTCACCCCCTAGAGCCGACCAAGGACAATAGTAAGGAGCGGATAATTGTCTTATAAAGTTGAGATCGCAAACTACTCAACGGGTATTAATAAAATAATTTGTGTGCTATATTGTGTCAATTGCATTCACAACGAATATAATTTGTTAACTGGAGCCGAAATGTGTGAAAACTGACCCAATAACAGAATGGCCTGATCTCACGGGGAGTTTGGGGGAGGGGGGGGGGGGCACGAATCCACGGGGCTAATGACCTGTCAATCTACCGCTGCCATCGCCCCGGTGCCATAATTACAGCCTCCGACCGCGGGGCGTCCCTGCACGTCATCGCGTCCGGCCTGACCGGGGGGACGCTGGTCACCTGTGGGTACCGCCCCATGTCGCACCTGGCCCGGGCACACCTGTGCACCTATCTGTCACAATATCGACACCACCCCCTCCCTCCGTGTGAAACGTAATAGGTTGGGAGTTCCCCTAGTGACGGTATTGTTCCCTTTGTTTTGACGGTTCCTTTTTTTTTGTTTGGTTCCCTCACGTGCGGAACATGTGCGGTGCTGATGAAAAGGTGTTGGCTTGTTGTCTGTTCTAGTTTTCCTTTACTACATCATGGCATCCGTTTAAATCAACTACATTGGTCAGTGCCGGAGCTAGGGTTACAAGGTGCGTAAGGGTAGAGGGAGGCGTTGTACAACTTATACATTAGTGTTGGGGGCCTATATGATGGGAACTGGTAATGTATATATATATATATATATATATATTATATATATATATATATATATATATATATATATATATATATATATATATTTATATATATATATATATATATATATATATAAATAAAAATTTATATATATATATATATATATATATATATATATATATATATATATATATATATATATATATATATATATATATATATATATACATGCGTGCATGCATACAATCATACATACATATACACATACATACATTCATACATACATACATAAATACATACATACACACATACATACATACTTACATACATACATACACATTTGCATACATACATACATACACACATACATACATATTTGCATACATACATGTGGTAAACACATATAGGCCTATATTCATACATACACATGCATATATATATATATATATATATATATATATATATATATATATATATATATATATATATATATATATATATATATATATATATATATATATATATATATATATATATATATATATATATATATATATATATATATATAAACCTCGCTTTGCCTTGATTGTGATGCTGAACTCGCCTGCTGTTGATGTGACAACCGTCTTGCTATCCGTCAACAGTTGCCCGTTCGGCTAACCCACGTCGACCATTGTCTCCTCCACGGTAGGAGTTGAACGATGGTCATTTCTCCGCTTGTTATCTCCCCTGCTGGTCAGTCCACATGACGGCGATGGCCAGTTCAAATGACCGGCCCAGGTGGTTGGTATAAAAAAGATTTAATGAGCAATTAGTATCAGTGTGACGCCCCTGGTCGGCTACCATTGACTTGTGGGTCGTGTTCTGTCAACACCTGCGTCGTGCACCTGAGGTCACCTGTGAAGAAATAAATGGCCGGTGCACTTTGTTGCTTTCCCCTCCTCCCCAACCCCCCCCCCCCCCCTCCATCTCCGTAGTTTGAAAGTCAAATGGATAACTTATCTTTTGAACTTTGGGAACACGGGAGCTCATACAGAGGCCGTGTGTACTACTTGTCTAGAGGCCATGTGCACCTGTTGTCTAGAGGCCATGTGCACCTGTTGTCTAGAAGCCATGTGCACCTGTTGTCTAGAGGCCATGTGCACCTGTTGTCTAGAGGCCATGTGCACCTGTTGTCTAGAAGCCATGTGCACCTGTTGTCTAGAGGCCATGTGCACCTGTTGTCTAGAGGCCATGTGCACCTGTTGTCTAGAGGCCATGTGTGCTACTTGTCTAGAGGCCATGTGCACCTGTTGTCTAGAGGCCATGTGCACCTGTTGTCTAGAGGCCATGTGCACCTGTTGTCTAGAGGCTAGTCCATGTGTACCTGTTGTCTAGAGGCTAGTCCATGTGCACCTGTTGTCTAGAGGCCATGTGCACCTGTTGTCTAGAGACCATATGCACCTGTTGTCTAGAGACCATGTGCACCTGTTGTCTAGAGGCCAGTCCATGTGAACCTGTTTTCTAGAGGCCATGTGTACCTGTTGTCTAGAGGCCATGTGCACCTGTTGTCTAGAGGCCATGTGCACCTGTTGTCTAGAGGCCATGTGTACCTGTTTGTCTAGAGGCCATGTGCACCTGTTGTCTAGAGGCCATGTGCACCTGTTGTCTAGAGGCCATGTGCACCTGTTGTCTAGAGGCCATGTGTACCTGTTGTCTAGAGGCCAGTCCATGTGCACCTGTTGTCTAGAGGCCAGACCATGTGCACATGTTTTCGAAAGCATCAAGTAATTTACTTTTTTGTTTAGAACCCACGCGCCAAAGAGTCCTACATTTATAAATTTTAGACGTATGCCAGAATTTTGTTTCTATTGAACAACTCGTAGTGCAGCCTACCTACAAGATGACAATTGTTCAGCTCGCCTACCATACAACCATGCGGATAATTCTAGGTTTCCCCTTCAAACGTTGCCACTTTTTCTATCAAGCTTCTTACACCTATCCGCTTTCATCTCTCCACTTGAAAGCAAAAAAGTTGTCAAAACCAATCTTAACTTTCTCAAATACCACCCCCTCCCTCACACACACACTTTCCACCAACAAAAAAATTATATTTATAATCACTCATTTTCTTGTAGTCGATTTGTGGTCACGTGACAACATTCCTCGCGACTGATTGGTCCGGGAATCTGCTGCAAGTGACAAGCCTGGCAGAACCGTTTCAGGTCCGGGGAACTAGAGCGACGTGGGGGAGGAAAGGGGGGGGGGGGACGGAACACCTCCCCGTGTCGGTCCGTCGTTGTCTCGTTTGTTTCCCTTCATCTTTTTCGTTTAGTGTTACCCTATCCGCCCCCCCCCCCCCCTCACTCAATATCCCCACAGTAAACCAGGTTTTTAAGGGAAAATGTTTAAAAAAATAATACATTCTGACTTGACTTGCGTTTTCTATATATACGCAGGGTATTATTATTGATTTTAGTTTTGTCTTGTCGAAAATTTGACTTTTTTGTATTGTGATGTAAATGACATGTGCTTTCCTTTGTAATCCATTTGTCATTTTTGGCTTGGTATCCATTTTGTCATCTGTTGTGTCTCGGCATTTATAACACATTGTCATTATCTCTTTATCTACATTACATCTGTCTTGTATTGGCATCAATATGACATTTGCATTGTCTTATTCATATGACATTTATTTTATCTTATCCATATGACATTTGTATAGTCTTGTCCGTATGACATTTGTATTGTCTTATCCATATGACATTTGTATTGTCTTATCCATATGAAATTTGTATTATCTTATCCATAACATTTGTATTGTCTTATCCATATAACATTTGTATTATCTTATCCATATGACATTTGTATTATCTTATCCGTATGACATTTGTATTGTCTTATCCATGACATTTGTATTGTCTTATCCATATGACATTTGTATTATCTTATCCATAACATTTGTATTGTCTTATCCATGACATTTGTATTGTCTTATCCATATGACATTTGTATTATCTTATCCATAACATTTGTATTATCTTATCCATAACATTTGTATTGTCTTGTCTTCCATGCGAAATATGTTGTGTATTGCCATGCACGTGATATTTGTTGTATCTTGTCATGCACATGACATGTGTCGTGTTTTGTCATTTACATGACATGTGTCGTGCCCCTGTAATCCATATGACAAATTGTTCGTATCCGGTCATCCAGGTGTCGGACAAAAGGATCGTCACATGTGGGGACGATGGGACCACGAGGATTTACGATCTGGACATGGGCTAAGTCCTGGTCAAGTCGCGCTTACATCAGGCTCTGAGAGGTCAGGTCTTGGAAAGGTCAGGTTCTGAGAGGTCATGTCTCAGATAGGTCTTGGACATGTCAAGGCGTGGACAGGTCAGGACTTTAGAAAGGCAACTGTAGATGTTTTCATGTCCCCCCCCCCTTCACCCCTTTTTAAAGGGTCATCGGTTTGACATAGTTTATAGTTGTCGTTTATCTAACTTAGTACTAGTACATAACGGAACATGTGTTGTTTTTTTCTCTATAACATGCGAATGGGTAAACTCATTCCTCTTAGCATTCAACCAGTTCATATTTAGCAAACTCAAGCAATAACGTATTCATGGGGTAAACTTTTAATCTTGATTGATATTGCCATTTGTTAAAAGATAAGTTATCAGGTTGTTGTTTTGTACTAATTGATCTTTGTTTTTGACAAACTGTATGTTTTAAAAAACTTAATCTGGAGAATTGTATTTATAAATCTTAATCTGACAAAATGTTTTTATAAATCTTAATCTGACAAATAGTATATTATATAAATCTTAATCTGAACAAATTGTATATCTATATAAATCTTAATCTAACTAATAGTATACCTATATTAATCTTTATCTGCTACTGCTGACGGTTCAAGTGATAGCCATTAAATGGTAGATTTTTTTTTTTCACAAGGCAGCTGATTTGTTTTTCAAAGATAACATTCTACTTGTCAAAATGTATCACCCATCTGTTGTTGAAATGTAATATTTTATTGTATTGTAAAATTAATTTATTCCATTAAATATTTTTTCTTGTAATTATTTTTTAAATGTAAAATTAGGTAGATAGCTTTAATACTGTCTCATATTTGAATCCATTTTTTTTTTTGGTGCTAGCTTAGCAAATCTGTGATATCATTGATACATTTTATTTTCTTGGAATTTTTTCTTCTCCAATATTTTGTGATAGTTGTTGAAACAACCAATTTATTTGTGCCAAAAAAATTCAATAATAATTATGGATGTATTGTTTTAACCCATATTATCCCAAGGTCTCAAATTTTTATAATTTGTTGATATGGTTTAGCTTTTGGGCACTGAATGAAGGAATGGCTATGGATTTTTTTTAAAAATCAATACTTTTTTAAATATCGATTTTTTAAAAAACGTCCCATAAATGGGACGCCAGCAACGAACGGCCCCATGTACATTTATTGAAAAATAAAATCATTTATCACGAAATATGGCTAATCACGCGAAAATTAAGCTGTATACTGATTTTGTATTGTTAGACCAATGATTACATTGTTTAGGACAGCTAAAAATAATGATAATGATCAATTGGGTTAGCCATACCATGGTCTAAAATGCAGAAATTATGTTCAAATGTCTAGTTTTCTTTCAATCTAGCACCCATCAAAGTGAATAACACTTGGAAATAAGTAAAGCTGTGACTGGTACATCTAATTATACACACATGATCACAAATATTGTTATTATTCATCGAAAATGTAATATAATTAAATATAAATAATTGATTTTTTGGGGGGCGTACTTGAAATTTTCAGGGGTGGGGACTTAAATTTTAGGGAAAGGGTGGACATTGGTGAAAGTATGTTTTGTATATAAATTCCATTTTGTTCTGGGGGCAGAGCCCCCCCCCCCCTCCTCCGAAATGATGCCTGAAAGAAACTCTGCCCTCAGTGAATTTGCAAAAGATGATCCGGTCCAGTCCCAGATGTCATCCAGCCATCTTCTCTTTTGTTACCTTCGCTATTCCCTCCCCCCCCCCCCTCACAGGCGTACATAAGGACATCAGACATCTTATTTCTAGGGCCCGGATCCGTCTCTGGGGGCTTGTATTGAGTGTTCATGGCTCTCATCCATGTATGCACCTCACTATGCGAACAGCTCCCAATCTAACAAAAGGAATCTCCTTAAAAAGTTAACAAAGTAAAACTGGTATCGGGAACCTTTGGAGTGAATATTATTGGGGCATGACAACTGTACACAGCTAATTCACATTTCTGCTATATGTAGCATAAGCTCTCTTATATGAAGAGAGTTAACCAACCCCCATGACTGAATCATTTCACCTAAATCGTGGCCATTGTTATTATTTTGTTTTGTTATGATTTTAATATCACGCGCTAGTAAATTGACAGCAATACTAAATTAGTTTGTATTCAATGGTATTAAATATTTCAGTAAGTGTAATTCTGAAAACTTAAAAATAAAATGTAAGTTTTTCAATATTTGCAATTTTTTAATACAATAATATATAAGAAAATATATCTCAAGGTCATAATTAAATATCTATAAATACTACTTAACACCCCAAAGTCAACAGTTAACAAAGTCAACAATTGTTTCAAAATAAATAACAATTTAACATAAATATTTGCATCTGTGTTTCTCGCTAGTGTCCAATGAATGTGACGTTTGTGTAACAATCTGCATAAATATAGGTCAAGGTCATAATTAAATATCTATAAATACTACTTAACACCCCAAAGTCAGCAGTTAACAAAGTCAACAATTGTTTCACCATAAATAACCATTTAACATAAAAATTTGCATCTGTGTTTCTCGCTAGTGTCCAATAAATGTGACGTTTGTGTAACAATCTACATGGGGCCATTCGTTGCTAGCGTCCCACTTATGGGACGCTTGTTCTACACTTGATATAACGAAGTAGTAAAAAAAAAATTATTCTTAAATTTTTATCAGATAGAAATATGGTACTGCTACAAGTTTCAAATGTATTTTGCACTTAAAATGTTAATATTTTAGAAGATATGCATTTTCCTGTGCGCATGTTTTCTTTTTTCCGCCATTTTGACAAGTCCTGCAAATCCGGCACTATAACATTTTTCTGAATAATTTTTTTTTTCACAACACACACACAAATTCAATAGTATAGCCATTTTCAAATACAATGAAATATAATATGTGTTTTAACTAGTTTTTAATAAATTTTAGCAATTTTTTTTACAAGCGTCCCATAAGTGGGACGCTAGCAGAACATGGGTTAAAATCTGAAACAATTCAAATGTTTCGAAACTTTGTTTTTGTCAGAAAACTGGATTATTAATTAGATAATTAAAAATCACGTGCACTAAATGTGTTGACACTGCTCAAGTCCTATGTGATGTAACAATGTATGTTGTAACCCAATACCTCCAACTTTAAGCGTAGACTGTTTCAGTGGCGTAGCGAGGTCTGGTGTCACCCGGTGCGGCACTTAATGGTGTCACCCCCAGAGGTGTAGCGACCCTTCCCGGGGACAAACTTTCAAATTTTTTGATTTGCCCCCCCCCCCCTCAAACTTTCGAATTGCACCCCCCCCCCCCTCAAGTTTTCGATTTGCACACCCCCCCCCCCCTTAAACTTTCGATTTGCACCCCCCCCCCCGTCAAGTTTTTCTCTATATATTTTGCTATTTTTTGCCTTGGTGTCACCCCCCCCCCCCCCCTAAATGGTGTCACCACGTGCGGTCCGCACCCCCCCGCCCCCCCCCCCTCGCTACGCCTCTGGTCTGTTTGTAAAAACCGTGATATAGCGGGGATCGTGCATAGAACTGTAGGCTGTTACACAAAGTAGTAAGGGGCAGTGTTTCCTTCAGGCATCTCCCCAGAGTATCCCATGAACAGATTCCTCAATCCGAACCACCTTCACCGACCTCCTGCACGAACTAGAAACATTACATTTACATAGAAAAATAGATACTTAAACCATGTCCCTCTTCCTCTCGCCCTCTCTCGGTTGCGCAGTAATTTTAACTGCCGCGCAGTCATTTTGTACAAAACATATATCATTGTATAAGACTTTTGTTTTAGAACACCGCGCACACAAAATGCACGCTGCACACGGTCTTTTTCCCCTTAGAGGGTACATAGCGCATAACTATTTAGAATTCCCCCCCCCCCCCCCAATTCGGGGGTGGGGGGGGGGGGGTGTTCATTGTGTTATATGGAGTAAGGGGTGGTATAGATCAGTTATGTAACATATTTATTTCTTAAAGTTCCATTTAGCGCAAATTTTTCGCTTTGATAATTGTTGAATGAACACTTGGACACAACGGACACACACGTTGTTGTATATTTTAAAAGGATTTTATTGTTCCCAACGATGATGTGACTATCACGGGCTATCACCTGACTCCCATAAGTTATTTTAAAAACCTTTGCAGCGCCATATTTATGCCGTGGTTTATGCCGTTGCGCTTTGTTTGAGGTAGTGGGCGGGGAAAAATAATACATACTGCCTCTTTGTAACATAATTTGTATGCACGATCCTTAAGTGGCTGTGATATTTTATTTATTAGCTATTATATACATAGTTTTATAATGTATTTATTAACTATTATTTACATAGTATTACAATATTTTCATCCTATCACTTACATATTATTAGATTTTAACATTTTTAACTTAGTATTACAATTTATTCACTAGCTATCATTTACATAATATTAGATTTTATTTATTAAGTATTACAATTTATTAGCTATAATTTATGTATTACTACATTTATTTTATTTATGAGCTAGTATTTACACATGATTAGGTTGTATTAAGTAATAAAAAAAACTAAACTCAGTTGTTGTTGTTACTTGTCATTGTGTTCGATGATGATAAATTTTAAAATGTGAAAAGTCTCCCCAAATATACATTACGACTTGTATATATAATTCTGTATAGTCTGTAATAAAACATAATCGAGTCCGGCCTGTCTTGCTTCAGAAATGTGAAGTTGTAGATGAAGGACCAAGGAATATGAAAGCACTTTGTAATCAGCACCATGCCAAGCCGCCTTTACCCTTACCGATGTACCTACAGTGAGGTAGGTGTCTTAGAGCGCCTGAACCGAACTCGTAACTTCGGATTAGTAATTGAGCGCTGATTCTTTCGACCATGTCTTTCCTTTCATGCTGCTAAACTGATGGTTCAGTACATTTTTAGGATACTTTAATTAAACGGGGAAGCCTACTCCAGCCAGGGGGGGGGGGGGGTGCGGACCGCACCGGGTGACACCATTTAGGGGGGTGACACCAAGGCAAAAAATAGCAAAATATATAGAGAAAAACTTGAGGGGGGGGGGGTGCAAATCGAAAGTTTGAGGGGAGGGGGGTGCAAATCGAAAATTTGAAAGTTTGTCCCCTGGAAGTGTCGCTACGCCTCTGGGGGGGGGGGGGGGGGTGACACCATTAAGTGCCGCACCGGGTGACACCCGACCTCGCTACGCCACTGGCCTACTCTTCTCGCAACATAAAACTTTTTAAAAATTGGGTAATTTTGGACAATATATTTTAGTTGGAAGGTTCTTTCATACATGCAATCAACAGTGTTTCTTTCAGACTTTTTTTCTCCGGGGATGGGGGGAGGGTTCGGACACTGGTAGAAGTATATATTTGTCATATAAATTCCATTTCTTTCGGGGTGATAGGGGAGCAGTATACTTTCTTCTGAGGGTGTGGAGGAGAGGGAGGGGGGCGAAAGGGTGACTAGAGAATATCTGGTAATCGATGCTAAACTTTAGTTCAAATAATGTTAAAAATTCAATTTCCCCTAATGTTAACATTCTTCAATAAACACCTCAAATATTTTTTTTTTATCACGCGTTATGTACTGGCACGAAGATCTCTTGAGCGTCCGCCGATTTTTTTTTTTAATTTTTTTTTGTACGACACACACCTGTTGCCTCTATCAGGGACAGAAGACACACGAAGCCAAAATGAGCAATAAAACCACACGTGCATCCCCCCCACCGTATCTGCCTTACAGCTCGCGAGCCAGAGAACTATTTCCACAGGTGTTGGCTAAGAGCTTGCCCTATGCCGCCCGTGAATTATTTTTCCGTGAATTATTTTTTTTTTCTTAATCTTCTCTTCCTTTGCCGTGAATTATTCGTAGGAACACCGGTACACACGGTGGGGGATTAACCCCAGACAGACGGGGGTGAGACAGGAACAAGCGATTACCTGGCAACGGGTTGGAGAGGGTTAGAAAAATCAAGCGGCACTCGGTAGAGATAGGGTTAATTACCAGTGCACCACCCCGGTAGCTCTTTCGATGATGGAGCGAACCAGTTTCCTCCAAGGAGGGGTGAGTGTAGGGGGGGGGATGTAACTTTTTCGGAGGGTTTACAGGCGATGTATTTATATATAGGACAGAAGTCACCCCGTATTAGAATCAAGATAATTTTCTGATTGTATCGATACGGTTGAGGACATGGCATTGGCGTGGTCGAGTCGATAACGCTCATGGTTGCTCAACCGAAAAGTCACGAGATCGAACCCCCAGGCTGATACGTTTCGATAGCTGGGGAAAGCAACTCACTCTAAGAGAGAAAACTCTCAATTCAAACAACTGCTGCCTTGTAGTTTGTTCTAGGATGGACAAAGGCTGTTGAAGCAAATCCAAAAAGAAAAGCAGACTGAAATCGGAGTCAACGAGCCATATGTCGCATAACGATTTTGAGACGTAACTTAATTGTCTAGGAGGAAATCCCTTCCATACACTAAAATTAAGAACGAAGAAGAAGAGCAAAAAGTTAACTTTCCACTTCAAAATCACAGTCCGTATTTTATTTCTATAAATCACGAAGAGCTACACATTACAATTGAAGAAGTGGTGACCATATACTGATGTGTAAGATACCATTCCATGATAGTGTTGGCCAATGTTCCTTCGATGATGCGTGGTGGTACGGCCGCTCCATGATTGTAACTGTGCAGTAATTTTGTAAAATACAAATCAACTTAAGTACTTCATTTCATAGACACACGCACACAAATTCGTGTTGCACATGCGATCTTGCCCCCCCCCCCCACCCCCCACCCCCCCCCGTTGAGTCAACGTTAGTGGAGTTCCTATCTAGATATGTATGGCCAATTTCTTACAATAGAGTTTTGACTTTAATTGTACTGAGTTGTACCGTTTTCATCACTCCTAATAGAATATGAGCCACCAACTCCAGAGTTCTCTGTCCTGCTGGAGTATTGGCCACTAACTATAGCTCTCTAGAGTTTTTTATCCTTTTAATTATCGTATCTGTCTCTCTATATCGTCTTTTTGAGCATGTATAGAGATAAAGAAACATTAGTCACTTCCAAGAAACCAAAACTTGTAGGAGCAACCTGTATGTTAAA